TTAACTAGATGTATTTCCCATACCAAGGATGTCTTGGGCTGTGGCCAGTTAATGTACTTGTTAAAATTCGGTTTACTCACAAACAGAGCCCAGACGATAATTTCCTAGTGCGTGGCCTTCTTTTCTCAGCTCATTTTTTCAATAACTTACGAAGCAAGCCCAGATGAGGGGGTTTCAGGCTGTGACCTCTGAATATAGGATCTAATGACATCTTGTTTTGTCAGGCCCCGTAAGAGGATTGCAGAAGGTGTGCAATTCAAATTTAAACATCGAAGCCAACCCACATGCGAACGAGGCCCAGAGGAGGATTGGACAGGGTAGTCTTAGAATTTATTTTTTTCTATTACTATTACGAACGAGGCCAGAAGACTTCTCAGAGGAAGTTCACTTAAGGTGTAGGCTGTTATTAGCAATTTGGTTTAAATATGAATTTGAAGCCCAACAGGTTCTTATCAGACGTTAAGCTGAACGACTTCCAAATGACAACGTTTTAGGGTATGACCCTTTAATGTGAAATTCAAATAGTACGGACTTGATACCCGGTTGCTTTGGACTGCGGGAAACATTAAGGGTGGTGAGCGGGATAGGATAATTGCTCACAGTATTTTTTCACGTCCCCCACACTTACTGTAAATGACTTTTCGCATCACCCTATGCACTCGAATACTTCCTAGTCTTATGATTCTAGACTTGCCATCTTTCCTTCTCCATCATCTGTATTTGATTTACAAGACATATACCCCGTGTACATACATGATGTGAGTACGTATACTGTGTTCTCTCTGCATTTCCACAGGAGGCAAGCCCTACGAACATAGGCATAACCCTATGGGATTTAAGGTTTAGGGGTTTATGCCCCAAGCCCTGGAGGTTCGTAAGGTTCTGATTCTACAGGCAATGCTTGAATCTTAAACCCTAGACTTTTTACCCTGTAGGATGTACCCCCTAGAGGGCTAACCCCGTGAGGGTTCTAGAGATACACCCTGAAAAGCCTTAAACCTTTAGCCCAGCCCTATAGGGCTAAATGGTTCAAACAACCTAAGGCCTGGGCAAATATACCATCAGCGCCTATAGGCTTAACACCGTTGAACCTTTTCGCGTCCTACAAGGTTTTCGGGCTCTGAACCTAAAGAGTTTAGGGTCAACGTGTAAATGCCTAGGCCTTAAACACGTGGGTTTAAACTCTACCTCTAAACCTTAACCCCCTTAACCCCAGGGCTTTAAGGCCAAGGGTGTAGGTTTACTTGCCGGCTTATTTTTACATGCCTAAACCTAAAACCTTAAACCTTAAGATCTTCACTATGGGGTTTAAAGGGTTACGATTAAGGATTAAGTCTAATTGCTTAACCTTCAAACCCTATGTATGATTAAAAGGTTTAGGGTTTAAGGTTTGAGCCTAAACCCTATAGGCTTTAAGGCTTAGGGGTTAAATCCTATAGAGTTTCGGGCCTTCTGGTTCAAACCCTAATCCCTTAACCGATAAGGTTTCAATTATCAGCCTTGAACAAGCCCTTAACAAACGACCAGAGAGTGCAGCGGAGCGGAGCGGACAGGAGAGGGAGGGAGGGGGAGGGAGGGGCAATCCTTTTTGCTGTCTTGGTTGAAAGATTGAAGGTTACGACCTGAGTGCAGGTATCGAGTTGCTGTACAATTGAAATGTTGAGGATTATGGCGCCCAGAGCCTCTCTCCTTAGACGAATTGCCCCCCAGGGGATACTTCAAAGTACATTAACGTGGCCCTGGATCCAAGATCCAAGATCCAAGATGCCAAAAAAAAACTTTTTGGGGAATCTTGGATCTTGGATCTTGGATCCAGGGCCACTTTAAAGTACTTTAAAGTGGCCCCCGGGGGCCCCGGGAGACAAAGTACAGGGACACCGTTTGTACTTAGACGATTTGGGCCCCCAGAGGGCACTTTAAAGTACTTTAAAGTGCCCCCCGGGGGCCCCGAGAGACAAAGTACAGGGGCACCATTTAGACGATTTGGGCCCCCAGGGGCCACTTTAAAGTACTTTAAAGTGGTCCTGGATCCAAGATCCAAGATCCAAGATTCTAAAAAAACTTTTTGGGGAATCTTGGATCTTGGATCTTGGATCCAGGGCCACTTTAAAGTACTTTAAAGTGGCCCCCGGGGGCCCGGGAGACAAAGTACAGGGGCACCCTTTGTACTTAGAAAATTTCGGATCCAAGGGGCATTTGAAATTGCCCCCTCCAGGAGCCTCATTAATATTATATTATATTTTTTTTAATCTCTCCCAAACCCCACGAGACCAACCTGAGCAATACAAGCTTTAAAAAAGGTAGGTCCCGGGAGGGGGGGGTACCATATATATATATATATATATATATTTGGGTTATGTGTGGGGTAGAAAGGGGAATAACATTAAGGGCACCTTCCTGTTTTTGCGGTTCCGGGTTGCCTTATAAAGGAACCAACCCCAGAAGGGGTGCCCTAAATTATGAGAGGGTTGCTGGGCTAGTCACGGCTAGTCATAACGGACCCCTAAGGATGTACCCCTCGGGAGGTTCCCTTAACATACCTCCAGTATGGCCGTTTTTCTACCTCAAGCATCTTTACAAAGGGTCCCCAAAACCCAAGGGCACAACCTGAGGGTCCAATGTAGCACCCTATGATACCAAGGAGTAGCTGGGAGATGCCTTACGTCGTTGCTTCTCTACTTCGCCTGCTTTTGCGCAGATGTGTAGTCGGCTCGCCTTGCCTCAGACGAGTCCCACATCAGCAATACCTTAAAACCGTGGGCTTGAGGGTTGCCTGGGGTGTGTTCTTTGAGTTGATATTCGTTGTCCTATATGAGGGTGGTCCCTGCCTTGTTTTTTCATTTTAGGTTTAGTTTCCCTTGTACCCTTTTTATTCACAGGTTACTCCTGGGTCTAGTAGCCCTAAACCCTAAATGAGGGCAACACGGAGGTAGGACGGGCAACAGGCAATTCCACGAACTTAGCGGGGCAGAACCGGGTGCCACGAACTTCTGCGAGCCTGAGGACAGATTCACGAGGGGTCCAAGGGTTGGCTGGAAGACTAACCCATGGAGAGTAGATGCCCCTGCGAACGGAGGGAAGGTTCGACGAAGTTAGCAGAAGGCCACGAGGCTTCGTGCGAAGGGGCAGGGGCCTAGAAGAAATTAGTTGGGGTACCTCCCTTTGTTTTCCTCAAAGTAAACCCAATACCCTAAACCCTAAACCCTAAGCCCTAAACCCTAAACCCTAAACCCTAAGCCCTAAACCCTAAACCCTAAACCCTAAACCCTAAACCCTAAACCCTAAGCCCTAAGCCCTAAGCCCTAAGCCCTAAACCCTAAACCCTAAACCCTAAACCCTAAACCCTAGCACGCGGGGAGGAAGTGATGGAGCTGGCTGCGACCGGTATCCTGGCCATGAGGAAGGTGGAGCTGCCACTTGCTTGTGGGATCTTCGAGGGGCATTAGGTAGGGTTTAGGGTTTAGGGTTTAGGGTTTGGGGTTTAGGGTTTAGGGTTTAGGGTTTAGGGTTTAGGGTTTAGGGTTTAGGACTTGAGAGAGCTGGCGCCAGAAAGAAGGTTCAGGGTTTAGGGTTGAGGGTTTGGGCTGGCTTTATCTACTATTTGCTTCAGAACCCGCCAAAAGAGGATGAAACATTCATCCTTGCAAGGGCAATATGGGGATTTTTCTCTTTTCTTTGTGGGTCTTTAAGAGCGGGTGGGGCCGCGGGAACAGTTGTATTCCCCTTGAAGTGGCACCCAGGTGATCTTGCAGCTACATATAAGGGGAACATCCCACGGGCCAACCTTGGTTGGCCTAGAGAGTTCTCATCCTTCTTTCGCAGGGGCCGAAGCCAGATTGGTCACGGGCTCCCCAAGAAGAGGCGGGCTTAGGGCTTAGGGCTGAGGATTCAGCGGTTTAGGGTTTAGGGCCTCAGATTTAAGGTTTAGGTTTGAGGTTTAGGGTCTATGCCATTTGCGAGAATCAGGATGGCAGAGTCAGTGTGGCCGCACCTTGTTTGGAGTGAGTCGGTGCAAACCTTACAGACACTTGGACAGTGAAGCCAGCAGAGTGGCCCGGAGACTCCGGCCATACGCGCTAGAGTGATGTATCTTTGTGGCTTTAGAGGGTGAAAGAGTGAGAACTAGTGAATTGCCGACCGAACGTTGCCTGCATGTAGGCGTGAGAGCCGAAACACTTGACAACGTTCTGCCGACAGTCTCCGGCCTGTGCCGCGTTTTAGCAGGTCCCGCCAGGGCTCGTGAATCCTCGTCATGCAAGTCTGAGAGCGAGCGCAGAAGCCTTGAGGTCAGAACCCCGAGAGGTAGAATAGACGAGGTACAAAAAAAAAGACCCAAAGTTTCGGGCGTGTATTTGGGGCGCAGTCAAGCCTGCCCCGACCCCAAGCATGCAGCATCTCCGTCCGGCCCTAAACTGCCCCCCAAGCCTCCTTTCCTATGTTTTAGGAGGTAGCTCCCCTTCTCACCCACCCCCTCCCCCCCCCCTCCAAAATTTCAAAAATCAAAAAACAAAGCAAAAAATCATGGGGGAGTGAGGGGGAGCAAGGGTGCCCTCTTGCAACTGAGCCTTTGCCCTTTTATCACCTTTCTGAGGATGACAGCCCCTTGCGGGCCTTCCTGTCGAAGGTGGACGAGGAGGCATCTATGAGGGGCTCCATTTGCAGCTCCGTTTGAGCAGGAAACCTGCGAAGCGCCATAAAACCCTGAGCCGAAATTCGAAACTCCAGCAAGTTTATTGAAGTTAATTGGGGTTGCGAGTGTAGGCTTTGCCAGTCCCCAAGCCCAGTTGCAAAACGCCTTTTGGGAATTGGGGCAGGAGATTCCCTGCAAAGTCTCGTCCCGTGGTTTAGACCGGTAGGTACATTCCTATCATACTCCTATACCCTCTTCTTGGGGTTCCTTGTTTGGGGTTCCCTTGCCTGTATTATATCATATTATCTTTCTGGGAAACAACTAACATATCACTATTGATACTAATATTGTAGTATTCCTTCAAGGGGCAATGGAGCTGGGAAGCCGCGGGCAGGAGGCCGTTGCTGTCGAAGAGCCGGCGCAAAAGACGGCCACCCTGCCGGGATGCCCTGTGTGGGGTTTAGGGTTTAGGGTTTAGGGCTAGGGTGTAGGGTTTAGGATTTGGGGTTTGGGGTTTAGGTTTTAGGTTTTAGGCCATGGGTGTCCACATGCACAAAAGGCTTAAAGTTTCACAGGGTTCAGGACCTGGGGCTATCGCTGGGGGAGGGGTTCGTTGTTTGCATTCCCATATTCTCCTAGTTCGAAAGATGTATGTTTTTGTCTCGTTTGCATACAAGTAAGCAAGGATGCCTTTTGGCGACTGTCATCTTCATAACTGATCAGTTAGTAAATGCATTCCAAGCTCGTGGTTGTCAGTCGCCAAGATATACGGTGCCGCGCCGGTCCTTTTGGTATCTTTAAACCCCAAACCCTAAACCCTAAACAACGTGGTTCACCCCCCCCCCCCGCCAACTTTGTGGTCGCTACCAATGCGTAGTGGTTGACTCTAGTCTGGATTCTTCCGGAGCCTTGCCAGCGCGTGCGCCAGTGCGAGAGTCGAAACCCTAAAAAGCAAACCTAGGGTTTAGGCACAGGTACTCCGGTTGCGGGCCGACCTCCCGGTGCAAAGGGAGTTAGGCACATATGCTCCAGGGGCCGCCCCTTCTCTGCGATTCGCGTAAGAACCCCAAAAAATCTGAAAGATAGTACTCCCTATATTCTATACCCTTATAAGGAAGTTTTTGAATACTACTATATATATATATATACACATTAAATACCTTTATAAGGAAGTTGTTTTAAAAAGATTCGTTGGAAATTCTTAAGCAATTAGTAGTTTTCTCAGGCCCTTCATGACGACCCGGGAGAGGCTCTACCGGAAGCAGCTGGAAGAGGAGGCCGGCCGCAGAAACCTGATGAGACTTTGAGGTTGGGACGTTTGGGGTTTAGGGTTTGGGGTTTAGGGTTTAGGGTTTGGGGGGTTTACCCTTAGACTAAGAGTCGTTCATAGGGATTGCAATAGGGGGGGTCCTACAATCCCGATTCAGGACTGTTGGTGTAAGGGGGCGGAGTGGAAGACTGCCGGGCGGAGGGTTAGAAGTCGGGACTTATGTGGTGCATCTTCTTGGCTTTCAGGGCAGCGACAACTGTGAACGAACCCCCCTCCATCCTAGTTATCCAGGCATTGAGGGCCAGAACTGGCCAGCCCTGCAAGGAGAAGCAGGCGGAGGTGCGACATGTTGACTTCACCAAGCGCGAACTCCGACGAAAGGCGCGCCAGGGTCGGCCTCGTGGGCCTTTGCCTCATCTTCCTTGGTACCATCTTGTGTCGTAGTATGCCAGGTCGTCGGGTAGAATACAGTATAATATGACGTAGAATGTATTTCAATATGTATATACATCCAGGCCGCGAGACTTACCACTTACTGTACAGCCCTAAGACGCAGAGCCGCCAAAGTGCTTTAGCGGCGTATTGCGTGTGGAGGTGCGGAGCCTTCCCGCAGAGTCCCCAGACGATGGGGTGAAGGTTGCAGCTTGGGTTCAGGGTCCTTACGAACAGGGATGCCTTTGGAGTTCTAAGCCGACTGGCTCACACGGTTCGGGCCAGCACATGGGATTTGGGAGGCGTGTTGAGACATCCATGCCTCTAAAGCCGCGATGCCGTCCGTTGCCGCACCCCGCCGAACTCTGCGCCCCCTGCTGGTGAAATAGTCCCTAAAGGACAAGCCCAAACCATGGGACTCGCTTAATTGTGTGCGCGCGCGCGTGGGTGTGTGTGTGTGTGTGTGTGTGTGGAGCTGAGCTTTCACGAAACAGGTGCTACGATCAATGGTGGTGAAGCAACACCGTGCTTCCTGAACATCCCCAGACAGCTCCCGAGGTCTTGAAGACGAAGTATGGGGAGACATCTGAGGATCACTTCATCACCCCGGGCTATCGGGAGCCGGCACAGGCACAGCACTTGAACGCTTAACTTGGAGGCTTTATGTTGGTGTAGCACCAAACACCTAAGCAACCTGGGGAAGTTTGCATGGTCCAGTGGGAAAGTGGAGATGTTTCGAGTTGGAGCCGTACTGAGGGTTTTGGGGCAAAAGGTCAGCTTTCAACCCTAAACCCTAAACCGTAAACCCTGCTTTCAAGGGCTTCAAAGGGCTGTCTCGGTATCTCATCGGTGTACGTGTAGCACTTGCATGGATGTCATCTAGTGCTGCTTAGGGGGGTTTAGGGTTTGGGGTTTAGGGTTTAGGGTATAGGGTTTAGGGCGGCAAAGAAACAGCCCTGGAAATTGCAGCCAGGCTTGGCAAGCGCGGTTCAGCAGCCGACAGGAGATGAAGTCAGCAGACGTCTCGAGGTGCCGAAGGGTTTCGGGTTTAGGGCTAGGGCTTAGGGTTTCGGATTTCGGGTTTAGGGTTTAGGGTCCGAAAACTGCCGCTGTAGGGGCTTCCTCTTGATGGGTTCAGACCCATTCTTCGGCGCCCTAAGCCCGCGGACCTTCGGCCCTGGGCTCCTTTGTCATAGTTGGGTACCATATTGCATTTTTAAGGGTACTTAAACCCTATAAGGAATAGACATCTAATTTTTTCAGAAAGAGAGGCGCGACATCGGAAAAAGCAGGTGGTTTAGGCTTTAGGCTTTAGGGTTTAGGGTTTAGACACGGATGTTTTATGGGAGCTCAACATGACTTGTCTGGTGGTAGTTCGAAGAACGTGCGGTTTCGGATGCTGTCCAATCCCTGGCGAAAGACGCAAGACTCCCTGAACCCTAAACTCTCGCGTGTGGGCAGTGTGGGTGGCAAAAAGGCCTTCAACCTTGGGATGTTCCCCCTTATACTAAGACTCCTTAAGAGGGATTATAGTGCCCTATGAGAATGCCTGTGAAGGACTGTTAGTCTAAGGGGGAACATCCCAACCGAAACCTCCCTTATTGTGCTCTACCGAACCTATAGTCCGAGGGGTCAACCTTCATCCCAGATGTAGTACCAAGAGGCTTGGCCACGTGAGCTAGTCGAGACCCCTCAAAACCCTCTCAGAGCCTTTTGAACCCTGTTAACCCCAAGAAACAGACCCCTAGACAAACCCTTTGAACCCTGTTCAACCCCAAGAAACAGACCCCACAATGGCCTTTTGAACCCTGTTGATTCCCCCAAATTAGACCCCTGCCCGAAAGCAGGCAAGTGTCCTGAAACAACCATCCACGGTCAGCATAAACAAAACCCCCAAACCCTAAACCCTAAACCCTAAACCCTAAACCCTAAACCCTAAACCCTAAACCCTAAACCCATCATCACTCAAGTTTCAAGCCAGAGGATGCTTCACGACAAACCTGTCTTCGCCCAGCTGCAGTGAACCTCGACCCAGGGCAGTTTGGGAGTTGAAAGTTTAGGGTTTAGGTGGGGTTTAGGGCTTAGGGTTTAGGGTTTAGGGTTTATTTAGGGTTTAGGGGTTTCGTGGACAGGCTTCAGAGGTCCGTGTTAAAAAAAGGGGTTTCGTGTTTAGGGTTTGCAGTTCGCAGTCCAGTTGCAAAACGGTTTACAGCTTACAGGGTGAGGGGACCTATATTCGCCAAACCCTTAAGCACTCAAGGGGGTTAGGGATTGGGGTGCAGTCCGCGGCAGCGTGAGTGCTCGGGTGGGTATTCAGATGCAAAAGGGTTATTCCTTCACTTCGAAACCCTAGCGTTCTTGCTGTCTGTTTATTTCCGACAACTAAGCAGCTGCTGTGTGTGTAGAAACCTGAAAACTAAACCCTAAATGGTACACTTCTCGATTTGTGCGTGTCATGCAGTGCGGGTGGCAAAACCCTAAATGGGCATAATGCGTCCTAAAGCTCTCTTTGGCCCACCCTTCTTAAACCTGAAGCCCTAAACCCTGCTTGCCGAGGAGGTTGCCTTGAACAACGGTTTGCTGGCGCAAATGCTTTTTAAACTCCCCAAAAGGGCTAACCCCTATCCAGCTGATGAGGTTTTGGGGTGCAAGGGGACCCCTGGTAAGTTTTGAGGCTTCGAGCGTTGGGTTCCACGACTGGGGCCACCTCAACGTGCAGCCCCTCCAACACCTCTACACCCTCTACACCCCATTACAAGCTAACGGGTTTAGGGTTTAGGGTTTAGGGTTTAGGGTTTAGGGTGGGAAGCTTCCGAAGCCTCCGCCAAGGGCAGAAGCCTGCCGATGGGGTCCTCTGACTCTGGGGAGAGGTGGGTTTAGGGTGCAACATAGGGGTCGGAATAATTACTAGTGGTATTCCCTTAGGGTCCCTTTATGTCAATAGGCTATAATAACCCCCAAAACCCTATTCTAATTCTTCAGGCCCCAATCTTAGGGTAGAGTTTAGGGGTTCCAAGCTTCGTGGCTTAGGGCCCAAAAGCATGGGCCGCCTTTTTCTTTATGCCTCAAGATGTCTGAAGTACTCGTAGCTTCGGGCGTAGCGCCGAAACCCTGAGCCCCTTTTGAGCAACGGGGCCCCCTAACCCTACACGCTAAACCCCGAACCCTGAGCTATTAAACCCTGAACAAGGAAGGCTTCTGGAGCCCTAGCTTCAGGATTCCGTGGTTGGGTTGGGTGAGAGGATGTCTTTTGGATTCGGATACGTTGGAAGATCCATTAAAGCCTAAAAACATGGGTCTCATGGGGTACTTCAAGTGGGAGTTATGGGGTAGTACTAGTATCCTGGCAGTGATAACTGATTCTAACTGTCATTGTGGCTTTCCATGCCCTTGTCCAGGACGGCTGTGGGAGCTGAGGGGGGAATTCGGCGGCAGAGCTGTCCATGTAGGGCTGCGGGTTTAGAATTTGGTGTTTAGGGCTTAGGGTTTAGGGCTTGGGGTTTAGGGTTTAGGGTTTGTCAAAATGCTGCAGAATGTAAAGACCTCCACCCTGAAGCTTCGACCATCTGTGGCAGCCAAGTCGACAGTGCACGTGGTGGACTACTTCAAATTCGTTGCAGGCGCAAGTCGTTCGTTGAGGATGGATGTGACTTCGGCCAGCTCGGGCCATTCACCAAGCCACTCCAAGGGTTGTTTCATGAGGTATGTAAGGGGTGCCCCCCTTCAAGGGCCCATTTTGAAGGGGCCATGTAACTACCCCAAGAACTGCTCAGGCTGTATGCCCAGAAAATGCCATCCTTGCCTGCGCTGGTGGGGGAATCCTCAGGCCAAGCCTCGGGATCTTGCAAAGGCGAAGGGCTGTTCCCGACATGGGGGGAGCCCCGGTGCGACGGAGGCCATCTCGAAGATGGCTCTTAAATCGGTGGGGAGGAGGGGGGGGAAATTCGACTCATAACAATATCCTAACATGATAATCGTCACACAAAGTATACTAATAGAGTACGAAGAGTAAGCATTCGTGAGGCAGCGACAGAGACGGCAATATAGACTCAACCGGGCAAAAATGACTGTTGGTTCAAACCCAAGCACGTGATACCTGCCGCGCTGCCAAAGGCAACGGCGGCGATGCGAGAAGATTTATGGAAGTCAGTAGCATCCGATCGAGACAGAAGCCGAGAAAAAAGTTGCTGGGATCCAAGATATGATGCTTCTCTGCGTTGCAAACTCTTTGGCTGACTTTCTTAGCCCCACAAATACGACCTCAGGACCACTTTAGCCCAACCGGAGTCACGTGTGAGATCACTCCGAGTCCCATGGCTTGCGCATCGCGTCGGCTCGAACGCTGAATTCGCAACCCTCCTTGCCGGAGTTTTAAGCGAATATCGCGGTGCAGCATTTTCGGTGCTGCTTTATCCCGCCCGCGTGGCGGGATGGAGGCCGATAACGGTTGAGCGAGTCACAGGATTCGAGGCTGTCGGGTGAAGGTTTCATTGGTTTGGCAGCTCAAGAGTCCGGCACTTTGTTCAGCCCCACGAAAACTTGGGGACTAGGTAGGTTGTTCAGCCCCAAGGAAAAGGTAACCTTTCGCCTTCTTGGTTATATAGAATCCTACTATACACAAAAGGTTAACCTTTTTTGGGCGAGGGTATTCAGCCCCTAAGCAAAAATTGGAACAGAGCCCCCTAAGCCCTAAGCCTAAACCCCAAAATCTACCGCTGAACACACACAAACACAAGGCAAGCCAAGCGTGGGCCCAGGATGCAGGTGCCAATGCGTCAACAGCACCAAAGCCGAGTGTTTGATTTCAGGCATCAAGCTAAGCCTTGTAAACGCCAAACCCAATAATGAGCCCTTTTCACCCTTAGCACCCTGAATCAGCCTTCAACCCGATACAGTAAGCCCTGCAAGCCCTCTGGGCCCTGTAACGCCCCATAGCCCTACTTGGAGGTCCATGAATACTTGAAAGCAAAATGATAGCTCTACGTGGCCATAGCCTTGTTTCGGGTACTTAAAACCCACTTAGAAGTACCCCTTAGGGTTTAGGGTTCATGGTTTAAGGTTTAGGGTTTAGGGTTTAGGAGGACCTCCAAGTGTAGAAGCCCTGAAACCGGTCCAGGGATGACGCGCCGTCGTTTCCTTGCAGCCCTCGGAATGCCATCATATCGACCGGGCCAGGGATTGAGTGATGAGGCCTTCCATGCGGGTTTGCTGGGCCATTGGGGGGTTTAGGCCTTTTAGGCGTTTGTATGCATGGACATCCTTAGATTCACCCGAAGTTAGACGCACCGGGCCAGGGGGGGGGAAAGAGGTCTGCATGCTATAGCGATCCCTATCGCTGTGATCTTCATATGGGGGGGTATAGGGGGAGTACAAGGGGGTTTTAGGGGGGGATGCCACCCATGTCGCAGCGAGCCCAGCAAGTTGAACTTTGATGAATAAGTGTGTCGCTGATGAGGACCTGCGAACTGAAGCCTCGCCTTGTGCGAGCTTGAGAGTCGAAACCCTAAATCCGCGCGGCATGGGGATGCAGGAGCTGCTCTAGGGTGTTTAGGGGGTGTGCAGGTTTTTGCAAGACCGCCCCTTGGATCTCGCAACCATGAAGCCTCAAATGCCTCAAAACCATCGTTTGCAAGCCTCCACTGAGCTGCTGCCACTCTGTGGGGGTGTTTCTCACATGAGAGTAGTTGCATGGTCCCGGAATTTGGTTCCTTACATTCTCCAAAGGGTTCTGAAGCAATGTCCCTTGTTGTCTGCAACGTAAACTGCAAACCAGCACACCCATAGCCCAGACTCCAGAGACTGCAGCCCCTAAAGCATAGACCCGGTCGTAAACCCGTAGATTTGGGATGTTCCCCCCCCTATATACTAGCAATCCTTAATAGGGATTATGGCTCCCCCTCTATTCTAGCCCCTATGAAGGACTGTTAGGACAAGGGGGAACATCCCAACCGTACATGCGCATGCAAGCAAAGCGGCCTCTCCTGTCAGGCCGTCGAGCGCCTCAGGGCGCGGAAGTCGGCCGCCAACGCCGTCGCAGACGTGCCAGCCCAGGCGCGGGGGGCTTCCAGTCAGATCCAGCCAGGTGGTGGGTTTAGGGTTTAGCGGTTTAGGGTTTAGGGTTTAGGGTTTAGGGTTTAGGGTCTCCTTGCCATGTCCCTTTGAAACGTGCGTGGCCCAGCTTGCAACGGGAGGCACGATGTGGAAGTCCTTTTAGAAATAAAATAATGCGATTCATAGCAAAAGCTTCTTGTGGTATTCCATGGTATTCTTACATATGCATTTGTATTTCCAGCACCTATTATCAAGTTATGTTGTAGTATACTGCATCTGGTCTTTCTTTCTGTTCGGAGCCCCTTCTGCTGCTGTGTGTCTCTGTGTGTGTGTGTGCGATGCAGGCAAATTGCAGGCTTTTGGATCAAGGAGGTTGGAGCTTCAAGCTAACAGGCTGTGGATCCCGAACACAGTAGGTCTCGGGCTGGAGTGGGCCTGCTGGACAACAGAAACTGCACCAAGTTCAGCTAAGCACCCGGTTTGAGTTTTCTGTTTTCGTCATCACCATACGTTTCTCTTGCCCGCCGGTACACAGATTTTTCACAGATTTCAAGCGAGTTTCGATCTGCCTCTCTGCTGCGTTGTTTGCTTTCTTTACACTCAACGTCTCACATCGTCTGGCCGAAACTGAGCAGGCCAGCACAAGTCTCAGCCTGAATGCCAAACCTCAACCATTATGCTCACCCCCATAGCCCCGAAACCCTATGGACCCTAAACATCGCCTACACCCCGAAAAAGTCCGTGGCTCGGCAGTTAGCAAAAACAAGTGGCGACCCGAAGCCAGGATTCGAACGCTCAGTGGGATCGACTCCTCGGGACGGGGGCGACCAAGAAGCTCCTTTCCTTTAGCTCAGGGGTTTAGGGTTTAGGGTTCAGGCTTTAGGGTTTAGGGTTTGACCCAGAGCGTTATTCGTTGACCTAGAGAGCCCCATGCCTCTGAATTAGGAAGATACCTTACAGACTGAATTCTACCATAACTTAGAGGTCTATCCCTCAATCAAAGGGTTTTGGGCAAGCCGTTCACTTCAATGTGCTGAATGACAGGAGCCTCGGAGGTAAACCCTAAACCCATGGCTACAGTTGGGCAATGCCTCTAACTCAGCTGTTCAGAAGCCCCGTGTAGCAGTCGCCAGACTAAACCCTAAACCCTAAACCCTAAACCCTAAACCCTATACCCTATAAACCCTAAACCCTGAACCCTGAACCCTAAACCCTAAACCCTATACCCTATACCCTGAACCCTGAACCCTAAAAACCCCTTTACCTATCGTCTCCGGTGTCATGCCCGCGGCTGGCTCAGCCTTGGGTTGAGGGAAGAGGCTCTACTTTGAAGGCCGGGGACGAGGTTTGAAGTACCCCCAACTCAGGGGCTGCCATGCACGTGGATGGAACCCTAAAGCTTAAACGCACAAATTTCGAAGTGCACCAAGGCCAAAAAAATCACTCTCCGCCCTACCCTTAGGCTCAAAATAGCCCAACAAAACCTTTTCTAAGAAGGTCTTTGGGCCCGAATACCCTTAGATAAGTGTTCTTGGAGCCTTCGGGGGGTTCTTCATGCTGAGGCTCCGGTGTGGCGTGCGGAGCTCAAAATTGTCGGTTTGGTTTGGGCCTTGTCAAGGCGCAGGGTTTTGAGTTTCAGAGTCCTCCTATACCAGGGGCCCCCTATGTCGACCCACTTGTCCGGGCAAGGCGGCAACCGGCCAGAACCCACCTCGAGGGCTTGCGCCAGCCCACCCCCACGAGGTGTGCACGCGCCCGCTGACCGAGGAGGACCAGCGTGCCAAGCGTGGCTCGGCTGCAGCCCTAA